GTCTCGGCCAGTTAATTTGCTTCGCCGGTGTTCGCGTACTTGGCGCCGGAGATCGCGATCAAGATCAACGTCGCGGAAATAGGAAGAACACGAGTTGATGGTCTAGTTACCGTTTTTCTTCATTGATGACGTCACATGGTAGGGCGGCGGGATTGTCGAGGTCGTCGAGGGAGCTGGAATCTCTGTAAATTAATTTGACGATTGGTTTATTAGCAATGTCTCATCTGGACGTTTTTGCTAACCCTTTGCACTCCAAGAGTTTTCAAAAATAGCCAACACACTTTTTGAATAAATGTAGTTGACATTTCTTGCAACTAACTTAACGAGATAACACATATGAAATAAAGAGGCTATTTTATTCTAATAGTTCACATACTACGAGTTCATACGAAACTTAATATTAAATATTATATTCATAAGTTTACTGTACTAAATCGATCGGCGAGTAAGGCGTCCATGGAGAGCAAAGGGTTAATCGGGGATTACAAGGGTGAACGAAGGGAATTTTTAGTTGAATCCGGTAATAATTTAAAATTGACAGTTTTGTGTATGAACGTTGGTAGTTCCTTTTCTTTAGATATTTCCTATCATGACGGTGGTATTGAGTAACTAAGTACTGGTGTATTTACAAGAGACTATAGAATACACAATGATGTGCTATTGCATCTTCCGTAATTGGAATCTATACGATTATTTCACGAGAATTAAGCAGCTTTGCAATTTACGGAGCGTTGAATTGATTAAACTAGTAACGAATCTTGAATTATTTTGATAACATTCGAGTCCGTTAGCGAAAATTCGAGTAACAGTAATTACGTAGTAATTCTATAAACAAGGTTTGTTTGTAATATGCTTCCTCGTTTAAGCGAACACTGAATAAATAATGTTGTGACGTGCAAGACCGTACCAGGTAAAAATGTGAGAATGTAAGAAATTCGAAACGAGAGTTGCCTCGTTTGCGCGATCGTACGGCCAAACGATATATCTTATTAAACTTTTAATTTCAGCCAATTTATTCGTCCACGGAGCTGGAAAGGTATACTCTCTTGGGATAAATATATCCTTCGTAAATTTAATCGCCAATTACGGACAACGTTGAAACGAAAGGGCCGTTTGAGCTCGTCTATCGATCGATACCTATCGACTTTGCGTAAAAGTCCATCGGGAATCAATTACTTTGTCGTTAGGCCGTAAATATAGACGCAATTATTCCAATTATTTTCGATGTCGCAGTTTCCGGCTGAACTTCTCAATTTTCAGGGAAATATTTTTTGCTAGTCGATACGATACGCGACACTCTACAATTAATTTATCATTTCCCGGATGTCATTCCGAGACGAGCAAGATCATTAACCGTATCCACGAGAAAAGCGGTATGATAATTAGGGAAGAAATAGCGCTAAACGATTTTCGTTTTATATAGGCGCACTATATAACGGAATAGATATTTATTCATACACTCTTGATGATCAATTTCACGATAATTGTAGCGAACAATTTTCTCATGTGATTTCACTGAATTTCAGTTTTGCTTGTGTCAGTAATTACTATTAAAAGAGTACAGAAAATCATGAACATTAAATTGAGAAATTGCTTCTACAGTCTATTTATCTTAGTATAATTGAAATTGTTATAATTACATTGTAGATTGAATACACGTATAGTACTCTGAATTATTTGAAATCTATTGCACAGAGAAGTTCAAGGAAATTTCAGAAGCGAATTTCCTTACGAAAAACTATCATCTTATGTTCTCGTTTTATTGTTTTTATGTAGAATCATCTGCTCTGCGGTTGTAGTAGGATTTGGGAAAGATCCTGTATAAAATGTGCATCGCGCAAAACTCACCGTCCAATTTGATGTCACTGTCCGTTCCGCCGAGGGAGTTTTGTGCGACGCATTTGTACGAGCCGAAATCGCCTGGCCCGACATTTCTGATCTTCAACATCATGTACTTGTTGTAGCCGTTTTCAGTTTGCACCGTTTGGTACTTAGTACCTGTAATAAAATTGGAATTGCCTGGACAAATTAAAACTATGTATTTCAGAGAACGTTGTGCGTTGAATGCAGAGCATATTGTAATTATTAATCTGTACTTATATTTCAGTTGTAATTTAGATTCACATTAATATACATTTATCATGCAGGAATATTTTTAAACGAAACGAAATCTAAGATAGAAATGTTCACACAATTTCATTCTTTCTTAATACAGAAAATTTAATTTTTAATACAAAACCGCAGTGCGAGGATAAAGATACTACATTCGAGGATCGTTAAACATTTTTTTATGCTAACTTATTGCTATAAAAGTTGCGTTATAGGCGTGTAAACTTTTTAAATCGCCACGGTTCAGCTGCCGTAATTTAAGTTCGTCTAATCTTGGTCGCGTAAATCGAAAGTGTGACCTACACTTGTAATTGGTCGTCGAGCAAGTATAACTTTATAAAGCATAAAATTACCAGAGATGATCATGTCGCCGCGTTCGGTCGTCCAATAATTGATCGAGGTAGGAAAAGCTTCAGTGTGGCATTCCAACGTGACGTTCTGTCCAATGTACGCAGCCACCAACTGATTCGGTATGGAAAGGGTCGGGCCAACTGTAACAAACAAGAATGGAACACAACATAATTAATGCACATAATCTGTCACTATAAAATATAATATGATACATTAAACAAAATATAACTTAACATTTCTCGATTACTTGCTTCGCGGTGAATAATTAATTTCTTTATTATAAGCGATATTTCTTCAAATATTTTAATTTCATATAATAAATAAAATTTTTTAATTTGACATTTCACTTTCACAGTTTTATCCAGTGCATTTAATATCGAAAGATGAGTTATTACGACGAAGTTTATCTAACCGTGCGAAATCCCTCTCTCTTAGCAGCTGGAATAACAGGCTCGTTACGACGGCCACATAAAAACAAAAGGCAGCATTCACGCCTAAGGTAATTTGAATTTTAATCATGATTAATTATCTTAAGCAAAGAAGCTACCCATTCAAGTCAATGTTCACGAAACCGAAGCATTGTTCCACGTTTCTTTCAAACGCTATTATTTACCGTTCCCTTGCAGCACAATTGCGGCTCCTGATCGCGTAATTAATTTTTTTTTCCAGCCCGAGACGAATAAAGACGGTGAATATATTGAAGTTGTGATACCAGGAAAACACTTATTACCGTTCGTTACTCTTCCTTTGTGCTCAAAATGATTAATAATTCTTTCCTTTTATAATCCCTGTTCTAGTGGAATAAACTTCGTCCCTGCAACGCTTAAAGTTCATAGAACATTCCAAGCACAGTTTACAAAATTCTTCCCACCTTAACACTCACCCGTTTTTAACACTTTCTTCATTAAAGTTTTAATCTTGCGTCTTAATACAACGATCTTGAAATTTACATTCACAAGTGACTGCATCCCTTCAAATTCACCATTCACGATAAACAACTGTTTCTTCATCAAATATAAATTATATTAACCCTGTTAACCGTCATCATACCGTTCAGACCCTCAGCTAATGACCATTATCTTTCTCCACAACCTTATTAAATCGTTTAATTAGTAACATCCCTTACCAATAAGAAATCTGTATATAAATTCAAAATATTTCTGTCAACAAGATCTGATTACGGATCTTCGTGGATCCGTTTAGTTAGTAATATCCCTTACCAACAAGAAATCTATATATAAATACAAAATATTTCTGTCAACGAGATCTAGATGATTACGGGTCCCCGTGGATCCAGGCGTGGTGATCACGGGCGCTACAAGGGTCAAACAAAATTTAATCCGTTAATCGTATCTCTCGGCCATTATTCGAGGAAAATGTTGCCCGAGGCCGGTTCAAACTTCCCTTTACGGATTCTAATTAAAGAACACCTGTCGGTTTTCGAATCACCTCATTTCGCGAGGATTATCCGGGGCCCGGGTATTCTTTTATTCGTGCCACCGGGCCGGCTTTTAATTCGCTAAAAATAATGGGCTCGGAAGCCGGGCCGCGTTTCATGGACACGCTCTCGTACCCTTTAATTTTCTCCATTTTTCCGTGGGAGGACTATATAAAGTTTCCATACACTTGAAACTTCAACGGCGCCGACTTAAGGAATGCAAGGCTCTCTTAGAGCGAAAACATCCCTCTCAAACTTTTCCGTTATTATACGTGTAGCGGCGGGACCCGGCGCTACGCTCTGCTCTGCTCTGCTCTGTTCCACGATCGATATAGATATTCCGGAGCAGCAATATCATGTCATAGTTCCGTCTTTTACGGACCAACGTAAATCACAATTTACTGCCGCTGTATTCGCTTGAGACGATATCACGGTGGATGGTCGTCGCCCACCACTCCGCCGCAACGTCGGCCACTCGATATTCTTCCGTCGACGTTTTCGTTGAGCTATCGCGCAGATTGGCCGGCCATTAGCTGATCAATTTAACACATCCTCCGTCGAGCGTCAATTTTTGAGAATGACGGGATAAACATGTTTATGTATTCATCGTTCACGCGAGGCAAACATATCGTTGGATAAAATACGAGGGGAAACTGGATGCATCACGGTTTATAATGAGCATAAGTAGAATGATATACGAGTTTTCGTTATTAGGTTACCGAAGATCGAAGATCGATGATTTTTGGAGTAGCGGTTTTTGAAATTTGTAGGGTCGCAAGTATTGATTATACGTGAGAAATGAAGTTTCGTTTGATGTGTTTGATGTGTGTGTGAGGGAGGTATTAAAATCTGTGAATGCATGAGGCCTGTTAAATGAATTCCAGTTTAAAGTTGTTAGGTTTCTCATTTTTAGGAGAATATTGATGTGGAATAAAAATATTTAATAATGTAATTAACTAGATAGTTAATAAAATGAGCTACAATTCAATATTTTTTCATGAATGAATTAATAAATGGTCAAAGGAGTATAGTGTATGAATTTTACATTTCCCGGTTCTGAAATTTGAACAGCTTATTTTACAGTTTCACCAGTATTCGCTGAGATATTTTATAAGCTGAAAGTATTAACAATGATTTTCAGAGGTTAAAGTGGATACTCTCTCTCTCTCCCCATTAAAATTTTTCCAGGATCAAAATCCTTCTAATTTATGGCAATTGAAACAAATACAGCGACAGCCTGTTGTAAGGAAGCTTTTAACAAAACTTAATCCCGAAGTTGCAGCATTGAATGAATTGTAGAAACCGCGAATTATAATATTTCATTGTGTTCCACGGAAACTTGCGACAAAGCGCCTGGTTGATAATTAATTCCGCGCAAGTTTCAATTTTTCGTTTTTAAATTCGTCCTCCTGGCTGGTCCCGCTTCGACAAGTGTTAATTAACGTTTCGATGGCTGCTAAATATGTTAGGCGAAAAGTTTTGAAAGCTTTTAATTAATTCAATGGCGATTTATTCGGTCCATTAAATGACTTACACTGTGTTTTATACGCGCGCGAAACATCAAATCACGTCATCTAACGTCACGAACAGAAGCCAGCGAATAATTACTACCAATTAGCGATTAATTATACGAATACGTAATTCGATATATGTCGATACGTTTGCGTAAAAGCTGCCGTCCATAAAGCAGAAAATGCGAAAATTTGGTATTCAACCAAATATTCATTGAAAGCTGCTCAAACCTATAATTTCGTGTGTATGATGAACGCGATGTTGTTCCGTCAATATTTGAGAACTTAATGCAACGCTGACAGTTCGAATTAACAAGAACTCGATGCATCGTTCGACGAGATGCATTAAAAAGATCATCAGTTTCAGCAATTACGAAAAAAGAACATCGAACGTTCCTCAATAAAATACGATGCGCATGAAAATGCATTCGACTACAACCGATAATTACGATCGATCAGCAACAAACAATTCCAACAATTACAAATTCAAACAATATCCCAGAATGTACAGTATGAATAACACCTATCTGTTCCTCAAACCAAGACCTAACAAAACTTACTTTTTCAAAAACCATGCATATTTTGAATACATCACGCAGCAACGAATCCTCAAAATCCTCCGTTAATGGGCAATGTTCGTAAATTTTCGTAGCTTCAATAATCACTTAACGAACATAATTAAACACATAAACTAACAAAGATACTCAACGAGTTCCGATGCTCGAAAACGTTTAGCCAACGAAGAAACGTTGAAAGAACCAATGATCGCGCGTCGTCCGGTAACGAATTGGCAAAAACGGCGTGGGAAATTGTCGCGAGCCGCGGAGAATTGCCACTCGAGGATGCCACCACGATGGCACGTATTTCCTTGGACAATTGTTAATAGTTGTACCTGACCGTGTGATAGTGCGCGGCGACTAATGTGTCGGGAAAGACGGAGCGGAAACGCAGTTTCGCACCCAAAAACCGGCTGAACGTGACGGCCGGGAGGGGATGAATGGACCCCGGCGTACATCGAGCATATCTGGGTCAAGTGGCTGCTCGTAAATCGGTGGCTAAATGAAACGTTGAAAACCGACCTAATGCATCGTGCCGGGGCGAACAACCACTCTTTATCAGGTTGCGCCCGGAATGCACTCCATTTCTGTTCCTCCCTCTGTCTTTGTCCCTTTGTTCTCCTCCAACTAGTTCCCATGGTTTGTTCAACAGTCCTGGTAGCCGAGCCCCGGATCTTCGGGAAGAAATATTTAACTTCGAAATTTTATGATGGAATCGCCACTTAACCACTAGCCCTACGACTTATATCATGTTGAACATTTCTGCTTATGCTACTTAACACTGGAACCACCGAGCATTTAATGCGATTAATACGTAATCTCTGTAAGAAGTGTAACAGATTATTTTCAGTTTCTTCGGATATTCGTTGTAGTATTCGATGGAAACTATTTATTTTCAAGCTCATTTCGAATATTCTATGCTGTTAAAATATCAATGATTGCGAAACAAAAAAATGGAAAATAGTTATTTTAACTGGTACGGTAGTTCTAGTGTTAATTCAGTTGTAACTCTGTGGACGTAACTGTTACAAAGAAAGCTGAAGTGTTATAAGTTCAATGAAATTTATTTATGAAAATAAGGAAATTTGTTTGCCTACGATACTGCAGATTTATGAAATAACTTATAAACTTAAGTTACGCACGAATAACACGCGCGGAAGACTCATTTTCACGCAAAGGGTTAACGTTCCATTAATGTTATTTAATCGAATTCGAATAATGAAATGGGTCACTAGCAACAAGAGGTTTTTAATAATATTCGCAGATTTGAATTATCCTGAATAGAATGTGATTAACTCGGAAAAGTCTAAGGAAACGAAACGGCGTGCAAAAGGTGAGAAGGTGAACGCGTCAAAGAGATTCGTGAAGCAGGGTTGTAGATTCGCGAAGGATTACGTAACCGTATGTTTGACACAATTATAATTCAAGTATCTGTCTTGTTGTATTCGTGTTTTCTGTGATCGGTATTGGAATTTCAGGAAAACTTGTTTAGAATAGAATTCAACTAGGTTTCCGTGTTGGACTATTGACATGTCGAAAAATTCGTGACAGAAAAATGTTACTGCATCTATGTAATAAATAAAACAGTTTAATAGAACAATGTAAACGTTTCTTACAGTATCTTAGTTCTTACAAGGGAAGTTATCGGACTCGGAAATTCAAAAAATTATGGGTTGCAATTTTTTTCGCCATGAATTTTACTTCGAATAGGTAGTTTCAAATCGAAAACTAAAAGCACACCTACTCACACACAAAGTTTCATAATTTCTTTAGGTTCTAAGTTCGATAACTTCCCTTGTTAATAAGAGATAATGTTTCTAAGCTACTCACATTGCACGTGAAGCACTATGCGTTGGCTACATTGCGGCGCAACGTTGTTCGACGCGATGCAGAGGTACGCCCCCATGTGCAGCCGGCTGATCTTCACGATATGCAGCACTTCGCCGTTCACGACATTCACTGAAACAGAAATGAAACACCACGATGCCAGAGTACCGAACGAACTTCCAACTTAACGTGAAAATACGATGGTTAATCGAGAAATAAACGGAATACAATCACGACGAGAAACGTTTTATCTCATTGTATGAAAAATGCTTGTTCACAATGGAGCCAGGCGCAACAGACAATATCCACGGAATAACGTGAACACTGCCTAGCGGGCGTAGAAATTTGACAGTTTAATATATATCTATATCCAGCAGCTCATTAATATCTGTCGTAGAAAGTAATTATTTATTCCATCATACAATAACCGGTTCCACTTCCGCGCGATACAACGGCATATAATTAAATTACAGTAAACGATTTATCATTCCGTGCAGTCGCACAGACTTGCAAAACTTCCGAGCCACGGGTTTTCCCGAAACTTTCTGTGTATTTCGGGGAGTCGTGGTTGGTCATCGGTTGTAATAAATTATGTAAGCGAGCCGAAACGGTCGTCTGCGCAGACACGGAACGGAGCTGCCTTCTCTTTGTAGTATCAAATCGATAACATTCTAATTAAATCTGTATTGAAAAATTGCGAGAAGAATTCTTTTATTTGCACGTAATAAAATAGTATGGATAATAAAATAAAATATAAAGTAAAATAATGTAACATAACATAATATAATATAATATGATATAATATAATATAATATAATATTATTACATATTTTTTAATAGTATATTACAATTACATTATACATAATGTAATTTAACTGGTTTTGCCAGCAATAACAATATAACTGCTGCCGGCGCAAATGGTTGTCAGCAGTCGACTCGATAAAACTCAATAAAAACAGGAACGGGGGGTGGAAAGAACGTAGCAAAATGTCGCGGCCCTTGTATTTTTAAGAGTCGAATTATTCTGCGTTGTTCGGCTTCCCGGGGCCGACGAAGATGGAGGCGTGTCGTAATAAGTTTCGAGCAGCCGGAAACTAGACTCGAGTAAGTGTCTAAGAGCGATGGAAAACCGATTCAACGTTTTTCTCGATAAAGGTAAGAGCACATCGTATCGCGGGAACGTTGCCACAATTCTTCGACAGTAATGTTGGGGTAATGGGGACGGTGTAGGGGCTCAGAAATTCTCCGAATCAAGTAATACCACGCGATGTATCGAACCCGCTGTTACTCTTGTCGTGTACTTTAAACTAAAATACTTAGGCGCGTTTTATGCTACCCCTTTTTGGCCGGCTCCTCGCCGCGCTAATTTAACGTGTTCTTTTAAAACGCGACACTCGCGGGGCCATTTCGACGTTTCTCTTCTCGCGCGCGAGAACTGACTGCCGCCTGTAATTTGCTTTTCAGGTTAAACATTCCGGCCAATCGAGGAATAAAGGAACGAGATATAAAACGACACGGACGAATATAATTGTCGTCGCTTTAAGAGGCACTTCCAACTTGTTAAATTAATTTTCTAAACGTTTCTCGCGTGATTCGTTGAAGATAGAATCTCCGAAGGTTGCGACTGTTTTATTTGACAATGAGAAATGAAGGAGGTTAGTGGAAGTTCGGGTTATTTTGAAATACGTCTAGCAAGTTTCTTCTAATATTCTATCATGAGAAGGGAGTCCATTAGCGAATGAATGAGTTTAAATTTCAATATTTTCGTATTGGAGATAATGCGGTGGTAAATATTGGAATATGCAATGTACTTTATGATATGTATGTAGTGTAAAAAGGAATAATTTCCTTCATGCACGCATGCATACATTAAAGGTTACACCGTGGAGATTTTGTTCTAACATGGAATATAAAGCAACCTTTACGTAATTCGGTTAGTTCGTTTAGAAGTTTGCCTGCAAACACGGCGAAAAAAATCCATTAGAAGTTCTCTGATATCGAATAACTTCAATGAAAGACCATTTGAAATTAAGTTCTCCTCTTTCGCGTTTCAGAGAGACGTTTTCATATTTGTTTTTACATCCACCATTGGTTGGCAATTTGATTTCCTTCCGCAATGAAATTACCTCGCAAACCAAGGAATTCCGCTTCGAATTTACTTCCGTTCGTCCCAGGTTACTTATATTTTGCAAATTAAAGCGACGACCAGAATCATATACACGATTGGGTAATTCGTACGAATATAAAAATATCTATTTAATTTATTGTAAATTCTGTCGGGCAACATTTTATTCAAATAACGAGCGGAATATAAAAATAATGCAATTTTATCCAGATGAAATCGTGTAACGAATAAAACAGAATTGTTTAACGGAATATAATTTTTTCAAATGAATCGAAATTCTTTGATAATCGAAATTTCTGTTCGGCGCTAATGAATAAATAATCGGATAAATATGAATTTATTCGAATAATCATTTATTCGTTACTCGAAATATTTGTACCGCCTAGCACGGGTGTGTCTGCTTAAAATAACGAATTGTCCAGCGAAAAATCGATAGAACGATTGAGATAATAATAGACAAAATGGTCACAATTTACTCAGCTAATTATCTCGCGATTAGGTAAACATTTGACTCGGTACGATTAGCACGATGCCGAAACCGATCGAGAAACGTAGTGGGGACGAAGGTCACATAGGGAATAAAACTCGCTATCTCATTGCGCGGTGAGGCATAAGAAGATGGCGTGAATCGTTGTTAGCTGCGCCGCGGTGCGCGCCAAACCTATCTATTGTTCCGCAAACAATGCCTAGCAGTGAGAGACGCCGGCGGCTCGGTAGCACTTTCCGAGGGTTTTAATCAAGTAGTCCCGCAGGTCCCCTGTGCTAGTACCACCCCTCAACGGTTTAGCGAGAACCTTTAATACTTTTCTCTTAATGAGAAGCCACAATATGGAACCGGTTCAATAAAATTTCCGGTCGAATGTGCAACGTGCGCTTTGAATAAAGAAGCTCGGTGAATGATCACTTTCAACAACCGTTACTCACTACTTTCGCCTCTAAAAATGATTCTTATCATGCTCAATATTACCTTAGGTAGCATTGTTCGTAATATAGAAATGTTATGAAATAATCATCGATTGATGTAACGATTTATAATAATTTGGTTGGTCACCAGTGACTCTGATGATAGCGAACGTGTTAGAAAAGTAAATGTCGCTCGATTCTTCTGTGAGTTCCTCTTATCAATTGTTATATTACAAAGTAAACATAGATAAATGAATTGGCAATCCTACTTTGTTTCTGGTAATCCATTAACGACGAAATTACCCTAGAATGCTTAGTTATGTAAGAGACCGTAGGTCAAGGGGTCAACAAGCGATTCTTTACTGAGATTTACTGTTTCTCGTCACAGTAAGTCTTTAACTCTGTGTAATCCAGAGCAGCTTTTCAGTCGCCAAGTGATTTGACACAGGATTGTAAAGTTTGATATTTAATATTAAACTATGTATAATGCATCAATACGTGAAACATTGAATGAAAATAGTTTTCTTTCTCAATGTATCTGCGATTTCTCAAGTAACTTTCAGAAAATGTCATCTGCATCTCATTAGAAAGTATTGAGTACTTACAATGAAAAACTTTCAAAGTACAAAAGGTTAAAACAGTAATTTTGGTACCGCTTTGAATCGAAGGGCAAAGATCTCTCACGAAAGGACGAGAAGCACCGAGCAAGCCTTTCAGAATTGTAATTCCACAAAGCCGAACTTTTATCGTGCGATGAACACCGTCGAAGATATTCCACGTATTTCGCAATTAACCGGTGAACAATCTCGACCTTCATGCGTTTGAACGACCGATCCACATTCCTTTCCGACTTAACGATCAAAGCTGGCGGAGAGAGTCCGCGAGGAGCGCCGAGCGCAAAAACAAGGGGAACGTAATATTTATGAGAACTCGAAATACCCGTGTCAAGTTGCGCGATTCAAGGAACGTCTGGATTCCGCGGCGTTGACGGAGAGAAAAAAAAAGAAGAAAAGAGGCGAGCAGAGAGACGACGGGAGTTTACGCGACCGTTGAATAACGTTGATTCCAATTTGTCGTCGCGGAAAACGCGCTGAAGTTTTCATAATGCTCGCGACGCGGGCCGGACGATAACGCAGTGTCTTTCAAAGTCCATTTAGCCGGTTTAAATGTTAAGCGGGCACGATAAGGGCGCGCGCTGAAAAGAAACTGGGGAATAAATTAGCGGCCATTCACGTCGATGCGCGGCGCACTTTGCATAACATTTCCCGCATGCTTCTTAACGTCGTAAAAATAAGCGGACAGCTTACTCGAAGACGAAGCTGGGGGAGCCGGCTACCTATTTGGGAATTAGTAGGTGATGTATTCCGCCCCATAAGCGGTGGCTCGGACGTCGATATTTCATCCCCATTCCCTTTCTGCCGTATCCTTAAGTGCCCTTTTTCGCGTTATTACCGCCAGATAACCCGGCTACATTCATTCTCCGGCGAAATCCCCCAGTCCACGATCATCGCCGCTAATGTTGCTCCCTGTGTACGAAGGGACAGATGGAAGAAAGCTGTATCGTTTCATAATTTCATTGTTCGACCGAATACAATGCCACGTATCATAATTAACTCTGACCGGAGCTCTGGGAGAATTGACGGATCGGCTTTGATGAAATAGTTCGCACTAGATTGACGAACATTTATTGTAAATATTCTGTTGTTGCTAGATTGACGTTAGCTCATTTAGATTTTGGAAACTGGAGGTTTGAAAATAGAGGTTTATAATGTGTACACGTGTCAGATAAAAATTGTTCTAAACGTTTATTGAATGACATTTTTTATCCGTTTGATTGAAGAGTATATCTAGTTAAGGAATCTTACATCGTAGAAGATGCTGAGCAAGAGACTAGGTAAGATAAACTGAAAAATTTCACTGCAACGAAGTTCATCTCAATACTCCAGCTGGCAAGGAGAATCGATTTCCAATTGCCTTGAAAATTAACAGGACTCGCCTTATTCTTTACTTATCCAACAATTCGGTAAGATGGTTCCATCCAACTTCGAAGCTCCCTCGAAACTTAAAATTAACCCATTAAAGATCACCATACGGTCGACACGCG